TGGCCGCCGGGCGCGTTCCATCCGGTGACCGCGAGGAGTCCCGCCGCCAGCCCCGGGCGGCCAAGACTCAGCCTGCGGGCCTCAGGGCTCCTCACACCTTTTTCCAGGAGCTCGGGTCTCTTGGGTGCGAATCGTTTAGTAAACCGTTAATTGTTACTGTAATTTTCACTAGAAGGAGCCACCCTGGCGGGGGGGATGTTGTTGTTCTTGCTGCTGCTGTTGTAACATTTTTCAAGCACCTACGTGGTGGGGTTTTCTGCGTAAGCTTCTCTCCAGCTCCCCAGGAAGGGGGCGTTGCCATCACCTTATCTTTCCCATGTGAGGGAGGGCACAGACGACTGATCTCTTCTGGTCGCCCTCCAAGGATCCGAGGCCTCATTTTACAGACGGAGAAACTGAGACTTAATTCAGGAGGCATTATGCAGGCTGTCTACCTTAAAAACCCAGAGCCATTTTCTGGAAACCAAGCCAACCTCTTCACTCAGCAGCTTTCCAGCTGTGATGTCTTAGATGGGCTACTCCATCTCTCAGCCTCTGGGTCCAAGAGGTTTCTGACCAGGTGTGGGGGAGCACACCGCCTCCCCGAGTGCTGGTGGCCGTTAGTGACTTCCCTGGAGTTAACACTTAAACCTTGTTTCTACTTGTTTTGGGCCTGCCCTTGGAATGAGTCCTTACAAGGGGACATTCTGGCTGTTCACTGGTACTGTTTTTCACCTGTTCCCTCAGTGGCCTGGATTCCAGTGTTAGCCCCTTCCCCACCGTCTCATTTCCACTTCTCACTCCAGGATTTGGGGACTTGCCACCATCTTAACCTCCAGGTCACAGGGCAGCACTGATTGATTTGGCTGGTGCTTCTTCAGCCTTACCAACATTAGGTTATGCGTGTTTGCTTGGTTTTGGTTTAAAAATGTCTGAGTCTGGGGAAGCTGGCTTCCAGAGTGTGGGCTTTCAGGCAGTGCTTCAGAATGTCCTCCAGGGTGGGGAACATACTTAATTAACCTTCTAATATGGCTGCCAGGTGGTCTTTTTTTTTGGTGGGAACTATCTCAGCAGGAATATTTCTCCAAGCTCCAGGGATCCAGTGAGACCTTCCATGGGAGTGTGTGAGGCCTAAAACAAATGGAATAATGTAGTTAGCATAGTCCTTGCGGATGTCACTCATTATCCTTTGCTATCTCAGCTCAGTTGCTGCCTCCTCTGAGAAGTCTTCCCTGACTACCTCATCGAAAGCCGCATCCCTCCCACTCTTCCCGCAACTTCCTCTGGCTTAGGACCTTATTTTGTCTTTAGGACACTAAAGACTGTAGAAATTACTGGTTCTCATTTAGTGTTCTTCATACTAGTCTGCAGCTCCACGAGAGCAGACTCACTGGAGCATCCCTAGTGGGCACTCTGGGAGGAAGCTGGAGAGAGGGTTCATGTATGTTAACTGTAAGTTTTATTAGGCGTAAAAGCTGAGCTGCTGAGAATCCAGAGAGCAGTGTTAGTCCATTTTCTCACGTCCAATCTTCTAGTAAATGGAAGGGGGTACTTGGTGAAGGGCTCCATCCACCGGTGGGTCTTGACCCTGACCTCGGAGGTATTTTCCCCTCTCCCTGGAAAGCATCCTGTTTTTAGTGAACCCATTAAGTCTGTAGACAATTAATGGCTTCTCGCTTCCCCTGCCGCGGACATAGTGGATCCCACGAGAGTCTGACTGTTTTTCTCTCGGCTCAGAACAATTCCAAGGGGTTTCAAGGAAGTTCCCGGCACGCTTGGGTTTTGTTGTTGGCGGCCACCAGGAAGCCTGCAGTGGGTCTGGAGTGGACATGTGCCGCCATTCCCTGGTCTCTTTGTCCTGCCATGGGTTGGTTGGGGCCAGGCCCTGGGAGAAACACAGAATGTAAGCAAATAAGTCCCCGGCCTGAATCCCTCGCTGGCCCTGAGGCAGGCAGGAGAGGCCAGCCTGGTGGTCAGGGCGCTGGGGCGGGCTTGGAAAGGGCAGCTGATTTTCCTAGTGTCAATATTAGGATGTGACAACACAAAACACCCTCTGGGCTTGCCAGGCGCTGCATGGTAAACCTGTTTTTCTGGAGGTGGGAGAAGACACCGGGTCACCGAGTCCGAGAGGGCAGCCCACCTGGCAGTCTGGGAAGGGTCACTGTGTCTGTGGCTCAGAAGCCAGAAGCGGCTTTGTCGAGGCGGGGCAGAGATGCACCGGATTTCCCACGTGCAGACCATGACGCATCCGGAAATCCCGGCTCTGACAAGGTCGGCAGGCCAGTGCCAACTAACAAGAGCTTCCCATTAGTGAGTGCTGACTGTATGCCATGCACATAGCATCTGCCTCCTCTCTAAAAGTGAGGTTGTCCAGTCCAGGATCCCCCCAGCCAGAAGTTGCTTGTTATGTGAGTCCAGTTGCCTCGTTCTGTTTTGCAGTGTACTGCCTGCTTCCCACTAGGCTGTCCCTGTTCACTGGGGCCTGCTCTGAGCCAGGGCAGACAGACATGTAAACATTTAATGAGACCATAATGGGCTAAGTGCCTCATCCAGGTCTGTTTACCCAAGGTGCTCCGACAGTGCAAATGAGGAGCAATTAATTCTGTCCTGGGAAGGGTGGGGAGGAGGTGGATTCTGGGCTGGGCCTGGACGAGGAAGCAGGTCCCCCACGCCAACCTTGGGAGGACAGAAGAAGGGTGTAAAGTTGAGGTTGAGGATGTGAAAGGGCCTGGGTGGGTCAGTCCACTGGGGAGCTGAGGGTCTATCCCAGGGAGGAAATTGGAGCCCCCAAGGCTGCCAGCTGGAGGGGTCCATGTCAGGATCTGGTGAGTGGTTGAGACCCCTCAGAGCACTGAAGGGAGACCCAAAACTGAAAGAAAGGACCCCGAAGGCCACGTCTCTCTGAGGCCCCGGTGTCTGGGCCCAGCAGGGTGTAGTCCTTTACTTAAATTCTTAGGGACTTAAATACATGTTTTTTTTCAATTGAAGTACAGTTGATTTATAATATTGTGTTAGTTTCAGGTGTATAGCAAAGTGATTCAGGTATGTGTGTATATATATATATGAGTATATATATATTCTTTGATTCATTATCACTATAGGTTATTATAAGATACTGAATGTAGTTTCCTGTGCTATATAGTAAGTCCCTGTTTATTTTAGTAGATAGTTTGTATGTGTTAATCCAACACTCCTAATTTATTCCTCCCTCTTTGGTAATCATAAATTTGTTTTCTATGTCTGTGAGTCTGTTTCTGTTTTGTAAATAAGTTCATTTGTACTATTTTTAGATTCCATACATAAGTGATATCATGTAATATTTGTCTTCCGGTCTGACTTACTTCACTTAGTATGATACAGTCACTAGGCCCGTCCATGTTGCTGCAGGTGGCAGTATTTCATTCTTTTTCATGGCTGAGTAATATTCCATTGTATTTATGTATCACGTTTTCTTAAACCAGTTGTCTGTTCATGGGCACTGGGGCTGTTTCCATGCTTGGCTATTGTAAGTAGTGCTGCTGGGAACATTGGGGTGCATGTATCTTTTTCCTTCCTTCTTTTAAAATTTTTTTTTTATTGAAGTACTGCCACCACGTATCTTTTTGAATTAGAGTTTCCATCTTTTCCAGATATGTGCCCAGGAGTGGGATTGCTGGATCATATGGTAGCTCCATTAGTTTTTTAAGGAAACTCCGTACTGTTTTCCATCATGGCTGCACCAATTTACATTCCCAGCAACAGTGTAGGAGGGTTCCCTTTTCTCCACACCCTCTTCAGCATTTATTTGAAATTCATGCTTTCAAACTGCAGATTCAGGCGTATCTTGGCACCCTTCTTTCTAATGGTGATGGAGAAGCACAGGGGTTCCCTTCTGGGTGTCAACAAGGGCTTGGTTGTCTGGGAACCCCCCTCCGACCTAGCCTTCCAGGTTTTCCTCACCTTGTTTCCCCCACCTGTTTTCTTTTCACTTCATTGAACTGTGTATTCTAACAAAATACCACAGACTGGGTGGCTCATAAGCCACAGACAGTGCTGGATGCTCGAAGTCTAAGGTCAGAGCACCTCAGACTTCCTCTATCCTTGGTAGAGGATGGGGGAGTGACTTTCCTGGGCCTGATTTACAAGAGCACTTACCCCATTAGCAGAACCCTCATGATATA